TCATCTCCACCCTGCAAGCCGCCACTACAAGCTGGGAAGGTCTCATGGTGTGCCGTGTATTCCTCGGCATAACTGAAGCTATGTTCTCGCCCGGCATCGCCTTATACCTCTCCTACTTCTACCCGCGGGAGCAAGTGGGCTTTCGAGTGGGAGTTTTCCTATCCGGTTCCGCGCTGGCGAATGCATACGGAGGTGCTCTCGCCTATGCCATCTCCCATATAAGAGGGTCTATTAGGTCGTGGCGCATTTTGCTCATTGTCGAGGGGATTCCCTCCTGCCTTCTCTCAGTCGTTGTGTGGTATTTCATGCCTGACACTCCAAGTACGGCGAGGTTTCTGAATGAGCGTGAGAAGAAAATTGCTGTTGATATTTCCCTACGGCAGCCGGGGGATAGAGAAACGAAGGGTTTGCAGTTGAAACAGGTTCTCTGGGCCCTTAAGGATTATCGAAGTAGGTTGAGCGTTATGATGATTAGCCATTCCCCCCTACAACTATCACGTTGTGAGCTCCGGCACTAAAAGGAAACAAACAGCCTATATTCCCGCACTCATGTACGCTGGCTGCAATGTCAGTTTCGCTTCCCTCCCCTTGTTCATCCCAACAATCATCAACGAGTTAGGCGTGTTCAGCACAATCCAATCAAACGGCCTCAGCGCACCCCCTTACATCCTATGCTTCATAACCATCATAACAGTCTGCTACTTTTCCGACCGCCTTAGTCTACGCGGGCCCTTCGCCGCCGCCAGCAGTTTCATAGCAGCAATGGGCTTTCTCTGCCTTGCCATCTCCTCATCTGTCGCAGTCCGCTACTTTAGCCTGTTCCTAGCTGTGCAGATTTTCGTCTCTGTGGCAATGATATATACCTGGGTGGGTAACTCGCAGGAGACTGATTCGAAGAGAGCGGGTGCATTGGCTGTTTTGGCGACGGCAGGACAATGCGGACCTGTGTTGGGGACTAATATTTTTCCGGCGAGCGACGGGCCCTTTTATAGGAAGGGAATGTGGATATCTTTTGGGATGTGTTTGATGGTGACGGTTGTGTCCTTGCTAAATATGTGGGTGCTGTGGCGGGAAAATCTGAGACGGGATAAGATGTTGGAAGTTGTGGAGGGTGGGAAGGCAGATACCCCGAATGGAGATAAAGATAGGACGGACGTTGAGGATGCTGCAAGGAGACATCAGTCGTTTAGGTATATGTTGTAAGAGATGGGATATATACCGGGCAGCATATCGACTTGAAATCCCCGATAGCGGGAGCAAGAGCATGATTTGAATTTTTATGCGTATACTATTGTATTTTTGATGCAATCCATTTAGATATTTGTTCTGGGTTTAGAATTTGCATTCATGTTAATATACATGTGTGTACCCCTTGAAATACAATTGTGTCGGATGTCTAATAAATGTTTTATCAGTGAGATGTTCCTTTCATCCATTGAAAGAGTGAGGAAGAAGTAAAGTGGGTAGAAATTTTGTAAAGAGTAATTGTCTAGGCAAACCCACTAGAGATTATTAACTCACCTGTTTGTTATCCCCGAATAGTATTAAAATCAAATGAAGTCTCGACCTAGGTAGTCGGACAAATAGCAGGACACATATTTATCAACTAACAATATACAACAAGATTAATCTGGCTCTCAATCCTCAAGAAAGCAGGGTAAACACTGATAATTCTATATCAACCCTCATAACCAAGCAAGAAAGCCATGAGCAAGGTCCAAAATACATAAGTATAGGGAAGTTAAATAATTGAAATATTTATTTACCACCCTAATACAATGCATTTCATCCACACATCCATCCTATCCTCTTTCTCTCTACTCCTTTACCCAAGAAATGAAGTAGAAAATCGGGGAAACAGAAGAAAATAATAAAACTCCATGAAGATTGATGGTATCAAACAACTTAAGGCGAATTGAGAAGATGAGATTGTTTAGGTTAGAGGGACCGGTGATGTATGTCTCATGGATTTCTTAAGGTTTTTGTTGCATGTGGTAATTGGATAGTGGTTTGTGAGATGAGAGATAAAAAGTTGCGTAAAGGGGTGTGTGTGTTGGCTGTTTTGATAAATATAAGAGACGTTATGACTAGACAAGAGAAAACACAGAGCAAATAAATAATAAAAGTAAAATTGGAGATACAGGAAAACGCCAAAAGATGACTCCAAGTCTGTAAATCAAATCGAAAAAAATTGGAAAGAAAAAATAACCAAAAGGGTGATATAATTGGTAAAACCAAAAGAGTATAAAAAGTATTAGTGGGTAACTGGGCTTTTTGGCGAAGGCATATAGGGGGGGATGGGGTGCAAATGGTGAGGTTGTAAATAATTGGCAAAAATTCCGTATAAGGGGGGACCGCCATCAACCGCATAACTAGATAGGCATCTCAATTAAAGAAAGAAGGGCAAAGAAAAGTAAATAAGTAAATAATCCGAGAACCCCCTTTCTTTTCTTTTTTTCTTAAAAAAAAAAAGAAAAAAAAATAACCCTTTTCAAACCGCCTCCGTAAACCGACTAGCCCGACTCCCATCAGAACTAGCCATACTCCTCCCAATCCCATCCGTCCCCGAAACCCTTCTATAGCTAGGATAGCTAGGTAATCGCGGCAACGGACCCCGCGGCAGTGAAGAATGCAACGCAAGCGCACCAGACGTCTCCAGTCCCGCTGCCGAGGTGACATCGGGAGTACTAGTCTGTGGCGTTCGCGCAGGAGAAGGGCGGAAAACTATCTGTGCGGAAGAATCGCTTTCTTGCGATGGTGGTCGTCCTAGTGGAGGGGCGAGGAAGGGTTGTGAAATTGTTCCAGTCCCCGTTCCACTGGGTGAGATGGAGGAGGTATGGGGCTTGAAAGATGATAGTGGTGGTGATGGGGACGGGAGTATGATGGGTGGGGGTGAAGGTGGGGGTTCCGTTCCCTTCGTTGCAGTGCCCAACTCAAAGTAGAGTTTTTCTCCCATTGTTCCGAAAGGGCCATCGTATCCGTCACCACCGGATTCGAGCACTGATGTAATTTTCCTCCCGGATACTTTCTTAAACCCGCGTTCGCCTGGTGGTGGTAGGGGTGGTCGTTCTAGTATTTTCGTTGGCTGTTGGGAGTTCCTCCATTTGCCAAATACACCGCCTGCACTTTCCAAAACGCCTCCGGCAGCTCCTGGACTGCCGATGGTGGAGCGTTCTGCCATCACGCCTGCTGAACCCGGGCCCAGTATCGCTGCCGTTCCCTGGCTTTCAGGAGTGAGACGGCGGGTAAAATTACCCTTGCGCTTTCGCGGTCTTAGAAGTATAAGTGCAACCATGATGAGAAGGACGATACCGGCAACTCCACCAACGACCCCTCCGACCACCTTGGTAGTCCGGACTTGAGCAGCGTCAGAGCCGGTAATGTCACCTGCAGAGGTGGGCTCAGAACCTGGGACACTTGCAGCTGTTGGGGTCCAATATCCACCGCTATAAGAATGTCCTGGGGCTCCTGTTGAGCCTTCTGCTGTAGATGTAATGTAACTCGGCGAGTAGGAAGTGGTGTTAGTAGTAGTTGATAGAAACGATGAAGAGGTTAATGAAAAAGATGACGACGTTGGTAAGGATGCAGATATAGTAGAATTGTAATCACTAGTTGGCAGCGCAATTAGGCGATTGCTGCTACGCAGACCTGACTTAGAACTGGGAGCTGACTCAATTGGGTAGAGGTTTTGTGAGCTAATCAATGGGGTGGACTCTGGGGAAGAAGATGAAGCAACCGAAGATGAAGACGAAGCAATAGAAGAGAATGTAGATGTACTGAAAGATGAGGTCGAACTTTCGGGAGTAGAGCTTGGAGAAACGGGCTTGACAATAAATGTGGGTGACGTTACCAGATCAGAGGCTGGCGTGGATGTTTCTGAGACGGAAGACTCTGGTGAAGTGGTCTGTTGGGTTGGAGTCACGGTGTCAGAGCTGGGGATGGAATCCGGTTGCGTATTGCTGGTCGACGGGGGTAACGGAGAAGACGCTCTGGAATCAGTATCAGGGGAGAGAGTAACGCTAGCGGGAGGGTCGACAGTCGAACCACTTGTATCTGGCTCGGCGCGTGATACAATGGGTCCGTTTCTAGGAATTTTGGGGCTATTAGGGTGAGACGGTGCTGGTGGGATAGGAGGAGCGGTGTGCACAATAGTCTGAGAATCAGACTGTGTGGGAATGGTGTCCCGCCCTAAATCCGAATTGGACACTATTGCAGGTAATATGGGAACTGTAAACTTCCCAGCAGTGGAGCCATTCTCCAGCAAGACATGAATGAAAGTCGCGACCACAACAGTTGGATCCCTAGGGAATTCCTGCAGTTGTCGGGCTTGTAGTCTTAGTAGATTTGACCCCTCCAGAAATCGTCCTTGACCATCAACTTTCGCCTCTTCAGGTAGCACAACGTCTTCAAGTGTTTTAGAAGTTTCGAACAAAGCCTCCGCATCATCGCGGCTCTTGTCTCTGTGGCCTTCAGCTGGCCCAGCAAGTGCATTTCCAGCATGCGGGATAGAATTACCTCTCAGATGCATCATATCAGGCCTCCAATGCCTTCGCCCATGATGACCCATAGCTGTGAGCGTAAATAAAACTCCCTTGCTCTCACCTGCAACTCAACCAGACAAAGCCTTGTCCGTTCCGTTCTTGTTTTATTTTGTTGGAAAAGAAATATTAACGAGTGACACAAATTGTCCAGAGACACACGCGCGAGAAGTGTAGGGAGCAAAACTATTAATAAATGAGTGTAGGAAGGAAAGTCGGGTGGTCCAAAATATCCCACGAGGACAAAAAGGGCGTAAAGTCCAAAAATTGCCGGTCTGTCTAGGGTCACGGCTGAAAACTAACGTGAAGGTGCGGATGTAGCGACTCTTTGTGACGAGATAGATAAGTCATGTAATGGCGATAGTAATCGAATTGGTTAGTTTTTCTGGACAGATGGCAAATGAATTTGTGAAGGAATGAAAGATATCTCAGAAGCGATAGGCGACTCAGCGAGTTAGGATTGCTTCAAGCAGATGTAATGAGCGTGGTTTGGTTATTCTCTTCGTTTTATGACATTCCTTATTGAATGAGTGGTTGAAAGAGTAGGTACGTCAAAGTAATAATTTTATAGTAAAAACAAAAGGAGCGGACGCCGGTCACCTAGAGAAGGTGAAAGTGAGAACAAATTTCGTTGGTCAAATTGCGAAATAGGGGGATATATAGCGAGGTTTCAATAGATGAGTGAACGAACGTCAGTCATCGGACCAACTGAGGAGGGAGGATTAAAAGCGAGCGCGAAGCTCACGAGGAAACAAACATCTAGAGCGAATCCATCGCGATCAGTTATTTTTTTTTAAAAAAAAATGGCCGTATGGTAGGACGGGGATGGACGCGACTTCGGGAACAGAAGGAAGTTAAGTTGTACCAGTGATAAGGTGTGACATTTACCTACCCGAATACAAGGGTATCCATAGACACAACGGATGAAACCCGAATTGGGGAAACGAGAGGGCGACAGGCGTGGGGTCAAATGGTTTAATGGCGGATACGGACAAAAGGTAAAATAATAGATTGATTGATATATGGATTAGTAGGACAAAAAATAGATATGACTGAGCGCGGAAAAATAGCGGGATTTAAAAAGGGTCTGTTGGCAGTCTCGAAATCCGGGACGGGAGGGACAGTCGAGATCTGCACAATGGGCTATTTCGTATTGGATTGGACACCGGGCTGGCCACACTTCCCCCTCCTATTCCTCAATGCAGGCTGACCGACCTCATCATTAAACAAAGGGGGTGGCAGACGAGGGTGATAAGAGAACAACAGACAAGATTTCAAGAGCCGCACAAAGGAAGCAATGAAAGGGGAAGAGTTGAATTTTCTGCTAGTGATAGCAGCAGGAATGGGATATCGTTGTCCTAGGTCGTCGTCATTGTCGTTGGATGTCGTTATTGAGGAGGAAAAGAAGGGAGATGGAAGAATATGAAAGGGTGGAGCTAGTGGAGTTGCCCGCTGTCACCGCCCGGTGTGAGGCATGGGGTAAGGCTGCATCAGGTTAGACCGCCAATTGTCAGCAAAGGACGCTTTGCCCAGAGAGGGATAGTGCGAGCTGCCAATCGACCCGCAAATAACGGCATTGCCAAGACTCAGCCGCTGAAGGGAGGAGCACTCATAAAAGTGGTGTGTCGGAGGCTGTGATTAGGTCATTCCAGTTTCGATCTAGCT